CTTGCCATGATTCATCCGTTTTGCCTTCTACGGGCTGTAGCGATTCATGCCGCTCTGACACTCGCTTTAACTATTGCAGTGCGCCCCCAAACTGAAAGGGACCCGTCCGGATGATGTCGCTATGCTCATCAACGCACCCTGTACTTCACGTAAACTTTTAGCTCTGCAATCCGTCGGCAACATGGTCTCCACGCTTACTTCGTCTGTTGATTTTGGTCTGCCGCCCATCAATACCTGTGGTTCTTGTAGCGATATGGGTCGCCCGCTCGCAGGCTGTGCTGCGGGGACGTCCACCACTACCGCTTACAGCGAATCACATATCTAAACTGCCCGCCAGCGTGAGCACAGCCTTGGCTGTTGACGAGCCGTCCACGACTACCTGCCCCGACGTAGACAGCTTCGTCAGTCGTCCACTGTGAGCAGGTAGAAAGTCGAGCTTTGCTGGCCTGCCGCCAAGCAGCGGTGGACAGCCCAGATGAGTGTGAGTATGCTTCCGAGTCCGTGAGGGCTCCCGTGTGTGTGGTAGCGCGTGTATGAGTAGCGTAATCGATGTCTTTTGTGTGTGGCTGTGTTTTTCCCAACGTTGTCGCTGTGGGAGGGATGTTGAGTGGTCAGAAGCGTCCCCGTGGCCCAATGGATAAGGCATCCGCCTACGAAGCGGGAGATTGCGGGTTCGAGTCCCGTCGGAGACTTCTCTTTTGCACACTTCAGATTCTCTTGCCATGATTCATCCGTTTTGCCTTCTACGGGCTGTAGCGATTCATGCCGCTCTGACACTCGCTTTAACTATTGCAGTGCGCCCCCAAACTGAAAGGGACCCGTCCGGATGATGTCGCTATGCTCATCAACGCACCCTGTACTTCACGTAAACTTTTAGCTCTGCAATCCGTCGGCAACATGGTCTCCACGCTTACTTCGTCTGTTGATTTTGGTCTGCCGCCCATCAATACCTGTGGTTCTTGTAGCGATATGGGTCGCCCGCTCGCAGGCTGTGCTGCGGGGACGTCCACCACTACCGCTTACAGCGAATCACATATCTAAACTGCCCGCCAGCGTGAGCACAGCCTTGGCTGTTGACGAGCCGTCCACGACTACCTGCCCCGACGTAGACAGCTTCGTCAGTCGTCCACTGTGAGCAGGTAGAAAGTCGAGCTTTGCTGGCCTGCCGCCAAGCAGCGGTGGACAGCCCAGATGAGTGTGAGTATGCTTCCGAGTCCGTGAGGGCTCCCGTGTGTGTGGTAGCGCGTGTATGAGTAGGATCCTTTCCAAGTAGCAAGCTCTGATATGTATGACGAACATGCGAATCCATTTCGATATAGGCAGATTATCATATCGTAGTGGTCTTTAGATTTGAATCGAATAGTAGCTCATGTACGTTAGATGCTGTACGCTTGCCACTACTTATCAGCTTGGCGTGTTGTTTGCTATGTCCGTGCATTGCTGATTTCATAAGCTCGTCGGCGCCACGCTCTCGCGGTAGCCAAAGCACATTGGGTCACTTTCGCTTTCTCGGTACTTTTGCGTCATGGTGCTGGCTTACTGTGCTTACGCGTCTAATGGAATAGCCTATATGACTCAGCGCGTCACTAACTGGGCACAGGCCATACCGCAGCGATATAGGCAAGCTGGTCGCGCGTCTCTTAGCAGTAGTGCTTTATACGCGCGCGGCGGGTACACCTTGTAGCCATCCGCGACTCAACCGAGCTCATATCGCTCTGACCATTATGGACAGGACACTAAAATACAGAACTGCATACAGGCACATCGACCTGCAACATCCACCTGTACGGTCTGCATTACCGCACACGTGCTCGTATCTACGTAGACAGCAACGGTTTTGTCGCACGTAGTACTCACTCAAAACTGTAGTTTAAATTTATGAGCGCACATTAGTGGAATATACTCTGTGAACATTGACGATACAGATAGCGTGGCTTGCCTTTGTCCAAGTGAGGGAGTGTACGTGTGACGCGTACGCAGATAGAAACGGCCAGCTTGCGGCTGTCCACAGTAGATACCATGTGCTAAATATTATTTGAAAGGCGCTACGCTGTTTAGGTGTGTCAACAATACTGACTGCGCCATAGGCTCACTACCATATGTGCGACCCCGAGCCTCGCCCGGTCAGCCAGTATACTAAATACAAAGATAGGAGGGAATGTGGGGGCCTAAAAGGGTGTATTTACCAATTATTTGCTCTTCTGCTGCTTCTTTTACTCGATGTACTTGGCATTTCGGGCGGTCAGCTTGCGAGGGCGGCTGCGTCTCTTTTTCTTCTTGGGGTACCAGTCAGGACGCATCGCCTTCTTGACGCTCGCCAGGCTTTCCCTGGCGGCGCACTTTGGCCGATTCAGGTGGTTGGGGCTTTTTCCTCCCCAGAACTTAAACGCCTTTTGGGCCGGTTCTTTGCACGCCATACAGTGGCGCACGCTGGCCCCGTCCGCCTGATTTGTAGGGGAGCCGCGTTAACCTTACTTGCAGCTTCCCGCAAACGGAGCGAACGCGGCCTGAGGTAGCACGATCGTGAAGACGACTGAGCGGTCCCAGCAAGAGGCGGGGTCCATTCGTCACGCCTACACAATGGCTTGAGCACACAGGGGCCCACCCATTTTTG